TTTTTTAAANATTTGGAAAATTTCGAGAGAAAAATTTCGAGATAAAAAAATCTCGAGATAGGGTATGAATGGGTATGAATGTACAATGAAGGTTAATCTGAATATATATTATCATCTCTCTCTCTCTCTCTCTCCATTTACAGTGTCTCCCGTGTTCTATTCATGGTGCTATTTGTCACTGCTTTTAAGGTCATGACGTTTTTGAAGTTCTCTCTCAGATGATTGTTGAAATATCCATACACAATGGGGTTGAACACACTGTTGGTAAACGCCAGCCAGTGGGCCGCAGGGTAGATATAATCATGCATGGTTTCTGACTGAGACACGGACAAAGCATTAAAGTCATCCAACAGCCAGCACGTGTAGAGGGGTAGCCACGAGAGAGCAAAGTGCGACACAATCATAATCAACATCTTGACAACTCTGCGCTTTTTGATAGCGTCGGCAGCGGCCATGGGCGTTCTCACCACCGGCTTCTTGAACCACAGCGTCAGACCGATCCTGACGTAGAGGCAGGCGTTGAGGAGCAGGGGGCCCATGTAGCACAGCACGAACAGGAACCCGCTGTAGATCTGCTTCGCCTCGCTAGAGGGCCAGAACTCGCCACAGATGTGCATGCTCTGTCCGAAAATCTCGATGACCTCCTCGCGTCTGATGAAAACCTGCAAGATGGATTGTAGTTTGTGTCTATGTATTTTGTGTATATGTACGTAAATTTTTGTAGGTATATATGGGTGAGGGGATTGTCGATTGGAGTTCTGCTCCAGTACCAAGGTCAGCCACGAGAAGGCCCAAATATTTGACCTTTTTGTCCTTCGTCTTCCCAAGACTTACTCACATACCAAATATATCATATGTAATGCTGACCAAAAGATGCGGACACACACACACACCAAAAACACTACCTCCATTTGTCATGGAGGTACAGTGTAACAACGTCTTGCTACGATGAGCACTGGTAGCTCTGGAAGTTTAATATTATATATACATGAAGAAATAGTGGTTGAAAAAATATAGATGACTACCTGGGGAATCATGATCGTGAGGGAGAGGACCCAGATGCCAGTGATGATGCCGAACGCTTCCTTCCCTGTCAGCTTCCGCTCAGTAGGGTGGATGATGAGACGGTGTCTACGAAGGAAAACAGAACTTACCATGAATAACATATCCTTAATTAGATGTAAAGCCTCTGTTACACATTCACGAATTTGATCTCCCGAACACTAGCCGAGCGCCCCGCAACCATGGTTAGGAGTAGGTCGAAGCAAAGTTGGCTGGTGATCGGCGAGGTAGGCTACTGCATAATGGTCGGGAGGTTTAACTATGACTGTAAGTCAGCAGAACATTCGGGTGTAAGTCGGCAGTGTTTGGAGTGTCTTCGGTGGTCAAATCTGACTCAAATTTAACTCGAATCCGTTTCGATTCGTACAGATAGGCCTAAGTCTGGTCAGAGTTCTCCCGAATGTCCTGAATAGAAAGTTCAGTATTTGGAGTGTCTTTTTGGGGACATATCTGGCTCAAATTTAACTCAAATCCATTTCGGTTCGTACAGAGAGGTAGGCGTGGCCTAAGTCTGGCCAGAGTGCCCCCGAACGTCCTGAAAGGAAAGTCCAGGGACTTCAGCCATGATAAGTTGTTTCACAATGTTTATGAACGATGCAGCATTATCACTGCACAAAATCCATTCTTTAAGCCTCTTTAAGGTGTGCTTAAAGACAGTGTTTCATGCCGTGAATTATTGCCGTTGAAGTACGTTAACAGCAGCCCACCTTAAGTACCACTGCGAGCTTGAATATTGACGTGCCTAGAGTAGGCAAAGAAGAATATTGGCGCCACGTAGCCAATTTCAAGCCTTTTAAAGTGTGCTACAGCAAGGCTACTCTCTCACTTTGCTCTTAGGCTGACAATGAGTCCTGTCACCTGCCGAGTGCAAAATAGACATCCAGAGTATTGAGGGTATGGAAAGGTGACTTTATTGCATAGGTTCGTGTGAGTTAAGACGCATTTTAAAATAACGCTGTACCGGGACTACATTGTAAAGTGGGGTCTTGACCGTGATTTTGCCGGCTTTGACACATGTACGTAACTGTAATCATAGATTTATCGCTTATAATATATATATTTATTTTATATTTCTCCCTTCGAATATATATATATATATATATATATATATATCATATTTGTGTGACGGCACACTTAAGTTCTATCAACTTATTTTATGCCGCCGCCAACGCAGAGTACAACTACAGGACGGGACAATACTCATTTTCACTTAGGAAAGTCGTGAAAAGTGCCTTTCCCAAGGGCACAAGGTCGGTGGCATGTCAGGACTCGGACGTTAACCCGGGAGCTTATGGTTCCGAGTCGAGCACTCTGCCGTTACACTACACGACTATATGCTAATATATTTGCTTCATTCCTCTTCGGAAGCCACTGAGTAAAGCATCTGTCCATGTTTCAAGCCTTATATATTCTACGTATGGGTAAGTGTAGTCTAATCTATCATCATCATCGTAGTATGACGCCCATATTACCCATCGGGTAGTTCAGGTCCCGGGCTAGGTCGGGCAGCCCTGGCAGAGAACGTCTCAACGCTGTTGAACATTAGTTATGGAACTTGCGTACGGCGTCACGAAGTCCCAGTGGACGTCACTAAAAGCTGACAGAAGTGTTCAATCACTACGTGCTGTGTAGAGTGGCATGCTGATCACTGTCGCTGATGCCCCTGTCACACATTGTCGACCTTTCACCAAATTTCACGGTTCCCAAACACGTTCGGCTGACGTTCCGGAGCAGTCTGACCAGATTTATTCCACGCCTATCATTCTACACTAATCGAAACGAATTTGAGTTAAATTTGAGTAAAATTTTACCGCCGAACACTGCTGCTTACTGCCGAATGGTTTCCTGATGTTCTGCTGACTTTCAGCCGAATGCTGGTCAGCCAACCATGTTCGACTAGACACAGAATATTTGAAACATTTTGAAACATTCGGCTTGCGCAGCCGAACAGTAGCCGACTTTGCCGATCACCATCGATGCAGCCAATCTTGCACCCTTGCATCGACCTACTCCTAACCATATATGGTTGGACGGCGTTCGGCCGGTGTTCAGGACGCCAAATTGGTGAATGTGTGACAGGGTTTTGAAACAAAAGTTCAGCATGCGGCGTGCTCCAGTATACGCCCTCGAGCCAAGCTCAACAACTTGGCAAGTCACGACTCTCACGTAACGCAACAGAGCGAGGAAAATTCAATAAATGGAGCTCAGTCCTTAACGTCAGTAGCACTGACGCGTGAGGCCCAAGTATACTTGTCAACTTTAAATGGTACTCACCATTATTGTATGAACTGTCAGTCGTTATATTACTCTAACGTGCTTGTAAGTGATTTAGTAATACGGCCTGCATTATTTGAAGTTTGAAAAGCTTATAACGATCTGAAAAATGCTTTTTCTTATGATAACCAGCGGGATAGTTTGATGGAATAAGGCCAGTTTGGCTTTGAATTCAACAGCATGACAGTCTTTCCGCAATGTAGACTGGCGCCGGTCGGGTCACTTTGAATCAATGGAACAGTCTGTAGTATAATTTTGCTGCGGTTTTGTCACCATGCTTTTTGTAAGACCACCTCAGCTAGACAAGTTTGACTGTGATAAATTTGTGTGCCTTGGCAGCGACTGAGATTTGCGTACATAGGCTGCGACCGAGACGCTAAGTTTCTTCAAATAAGAGTGCACGGGCCCATTTAGAAGTTTCTAGCCGCCCAGGCGTCTCCAGCCACTGTGAAATTTGCACATGCTTGCGGCAAAAACATTCAGCGTCTCCAGAACGTGCCATGATTGATGCAGGGGCTGGTAAAGTCTTTGTCGTGTAAATGATGGAGAGCTTCGTTATTTACTTTACTTTACTTCAAGTTCAAGGCAGACTCTTGTCGCGTGGAGTGTGGAGAAAAGGAGGAACAGTATTCAGATTCATATTTATTGAATATCGTATCGACTGGCATGTCACAGTGAAGTGCATGAAATATGTAGAGTATCATTTTTACAACGTACCGCCCATTATTACAATTAGATATAGTTAGCATAAAATCTTACATATATCTGCATCAATATCAGTAAAATGCAGCACAAAAACTTATCACAACAATGAGTTCATCAGCTAAAACATTCAAAGATCAGTATTAACAGAGACAAATAACATCATATCATAGATAATACAAAGACCAGGTTTTAGACAATAACTTCAGTGCACGAGGTACAAAAGACTGTTCGTGTCTTTTCGTCTTTTCTAGATGTAGAGACAGTGGCTGGTTTACCTCTGCGCAGGTTGTAATTACTAGTACATTGTGTCGGAGTGGATACAAAATCAATCAGAGGACTATCAGCATCCTTCAGGATGTTCTGAATTGTGCGCAGGGTACCCTGATCTCGCCATGTGGACACAGAAGGCAAAGATTCAACTGCGATGCCAATGATGTATATTAACTTTAAAGCTCGCGGTGAGTAAAAACAACTCTTTCGAGCCTTGTCGTTTCCACACATGATATAATAACATAATATTGTATTTACTCTGTACTGCGGTGGAAACATAACTGCCATCCCGCTGTAGTATAAGAGTTCACTTGGGAAACGTCTTTGAAACTCCTTTTGCAGCAAGGCCTCTGACCCAAAGTTCTGTTATCATTCAGATTGATTTTGATTTCTTTTGGTGTATGAAAACATAAAAGATAAACAGCTTGAATTGACTACAAATAAAAGTGTACAAAAGATCACAAGATAACAACACAGTATGACCAATGGGCGACTCTTATTAAACCTGTCATTTGCACACACAGAATCAATTACTGCATGTTCCTTATTGCCTTTACTGTTTCTAGTATCTCCCTTTTCTAATTTGTAATGGTCACTTGTTTTGTAACGAACATGTATGCGCAATTGCGATAATCTAATTGTTATCGGACTAAGCTGTAGCACGAAAGAAGAAGAATGGTCAATAACCCTTCCAAATCTTTGCTTGCATGTGGGTCAACACAATAAAAATACAAAATAGAAGTGAAAAGCAGGCCTCGTGCACATTGGCAAGCTTTGGCCATCTCGTGAAAATGTGATTACCACGAGGTCTCTGGTCGTAAAGATGAAACCAATCATACTCAGGCATAAGGTGACAGATGTAGCGGGTTTTCCTGAAAGGTTGCTGAAGATGAAGCAGATTTAAAACTAACGCCGCGCGAAGGCCGATAGGTGAAGTGAGCTGTGACCAGGCTTTTCATGATGGATGGGTAGGATTTCATTAGAGGACGAAAGATACACACATAGATCTGGGTTAAACCTCACGTACGACCAACGAGCTGTTTGCTGATACACGATTGTTGGCAATATTAAAAAAACTCAGTGGACATAACTACGGTCAAAGAAAGAGTCCCATTCACAACGGTTCTACGTGTTTTTCTAAAAATATCATACGATAAATGTTTCCTGTCCTGTAAATGTAGTTCTAAAATGAGACCATCGATGGACTTTCAAACATCACTACGACCAAGGCTTGTTGCACTGTTTCCATCATTGTATTCAGTGTACGTGTTCTACGTGCTTTCTGAAAAATATAATAAATGTTTTCCTGTGCTGTAAATGCAGTTGTGAAATGAGGCCATCAATGGTGAAGGCTTGTGCCATTCATGTTATACTGTACCTTCTTTGTATTCACAGCAGTGCTCGTGTTCTAAAGTATATTATGTTTTCCTGTCCTGGAAAAGCAGGATGGTAGTTGTGAATGGGACCATCAATGGATTGTAGGCAAAATTGAAAACCTCTAGATATCACTACGATATAGGCTTTTGCTAGTCATGTTGCACTCTGTTACTTTCCATGCATTCATAGCAGTGTATCATGCGGTAAATGTTTTTCCTGTCCTGGAAAGTCAGGATATAGTGGTAGTTGTGAAATGAGGCCATCAATGGCCGTAAGCCAGCAATCCGTCACCGTGCTCACTGAACCGTCATGGAGGGAAAGAACCCCTTATCTACTCTTATTGGTGTGTAAATCTTTTATCGGCAATTTACCACATGCACAAAGCCAGGCTGCACTGAGCGTAGATCCTCGCTCTACCGACCGTTGCGTATGGGTAGCCAGAAGCGGCACCTGAAGCTTCTTCACGCCTAGCTAGGTTTAGTGATCAGGCCACAGGAATTGATTTTATATGTGGCATCCTCCACAGACTCCAAATTTTCGTGTGGCGTGACTCAACGTTAGAGTGTTCATCTCAAAACCAAGAGGTCCAGGGTTCGAACCCTGCCATGCCACCGATCTTCTGCCCTTGGGAAAGGCACTTTACACTACTTTCCTCACTTCACGCAGGTGAAAATGAGTATGATATTGTCCTCTGTGTTGGTGATTTGGAATGGAAAAAATTAATGCGATAGGGTGAAGAAACAAGGGGGGCAAAAACATTTTGAAATTTTGATTAATTTTTCTTAATTTCATCTGTATGTGTGGAAAGTAGAGGGCCTACGTTCTGCTCAATCCTCTTAAAACAAAATTTCTTCCTTTTTTAAACCAGGCCAAAATTAATGCGCGCGCTAATGCCATCCATAAAAATTACTTACTGTGGCCTATGTACGTTCTATCTTGTATCTTTCCCCTGGGAAGCCTCAATCAGGGTTATAAATATGACATTATTGCCATACGTTTGTAATAATTCCCTACTGATGCGGTCTTTGGTACTTCTTCTCAGTCAAGGGAAAACACTTACAAGACTCAAGTTGTACTGAGCTTTAAGATGATCGACAAGGCAGATTTCTTCCAGAGATCGGTTGATGGATGTTGTAGACCTGACATGAAACATCTGCGTCGTTCTGACCTGTTCGGTGACCCACACACGTCAAGGAGCCCATATGGCCATTAAGATTGGCAGGTATACTCAGGGAATGGAGAATATGTCACATCGTGTTTGATGTGACAACAATCGGGGCGCTATATCAAATGAAGCACCACTTCGTGAAAAACAGCCTCCAGTTTAAGTCTGGACTTCCAGTTAAATTCCGTACTAGTTCCCATATCTCAGCAACCTTACATCTAGATGGGCTAATATCGTGAACTATGGGTAAATATGATGTAATAAATATGTGGTAACCATCAAGGACCCCTTGGGGATATTTCTGACATATTCCTGATGGTTCTAGCGCAAGTGTGAGTGTGAATTCTGGACTTGATGGTAAATGATTGGTTTCTGATATCATTATAAAATGGACAACTTAACTAACCGCAATGTTGCCCAGTGTTTTACGGAAAGAAAATATATAGTATAGAGAAAGGTGCCGAGAGCTAGAGTTATAAGGTCAACTATAAAACATCATTCATACAATATGTACATGCATAGGTATGTCATAGGTAGTCCATGACTATGTGGGACGTAGGCTGTGAACGTGTGACTGTGAAAATTATCTAAGTGCGGTGTTATCGTCCGTTGGCTCTGGCCGCCGGAGAATAACAGTCTATGCATACCCTGCAAGAAAGGCTCATTACCTCCATGAAATGTCACGGAGGTTATATTTCAGTTGCGTTTGCCTGTCTGTCATTCTGTCTGTTGGTCAGAAAGATAACCCAAGAACGGCTGGATGGGTTGGTTTCATACTTGGTGCGTTGGTAGGGTGTGACGAAAACTGGAAATGATAAGATTAGGGGTCACCTAGTGGCGTCCCTTGGTACTGCAGCAAAATTTGCAAAATTAATGAGGAAATTGCTATGAATCTGCTGTGTTCTGTTTGATTTTGCTAATGAGCAGGATTGTAAGCCATTTACGGGTGGTCATCAACATGCATACAATTTACAAAAACACTAAATATTTCATGGAGGCACACCATGAGGTCGCCGAACGCAAGTTTGAAATATGTTCTTTTTTATGTGATAACGTCTCCCTAACCTCGTTCATTAAATTCCCGCTGCACGACTGTTACTAGTACTTCAGGCAAGCTTTTAACGTGCGCTGAGCGGATTAATTATATATTCTGCACTTCAGTAGCCTTTTCATTTTTCCTCAGGATCTCCAAGGACATCTTTCGGTGGTCGCAAAGACAGTATCAAATTAATCCGGCAGTATCCATTTACCAGGCAGTTACCATTTGCCTCCCAAGGCTAGCGTAAAAAGTTCAGAAGAGAGCCTGATAAAAACGCATAAAACACGCAAAAAGTAAGCCTAAGCCTAATAAACATCTGCTTGGAAAGTACAGGATAGACACATCGCACTCCTGGCTGTTAGATAGTACAAAGTGCAAACTGTGGTAGTGCTTGTTCCTACAAGTACTATCGCTTGAAACATTACCGGAAACTACAGGCTTTCCAGTACGCACAGAAACTGGAACCCTTGTCAGCCTTTATTTGATATTTCATAGATCACGTCAAAAGTTGTTGCACTTTTACGCAAAAGAAATGAAAGATACAAAACATTATCGTATTTTTCTGAAGTAAACGGGATACCGGAGAGTAAGCAAAAGTAGGTTTATTGGCCGCCGAATGTTGGATGAAAACGATAAAGTTTATGGATATGGACCCTCCTGGCTGACATATGCTACACTCACCCGTCACTATAGATGTACAAGTAGGTCGTGTCTGCGTGGAATAGTGATTTACCACACGAGCTGGGGTGACGTGGGTACTGACGCAGATACAGCTGAAACTATGATTAAGGGCTTGTGATCGATCACATACTTGATCACACTGAAGGCAGGACCAGTATCGCCCTATAGGCGTAACGCTGCGTAATATGCCCACTGTAGCATTCTTTATCTAAAACAAAACGTGTCAAGCAATTGGATGCATTCTAGTGACTTTTCAGAGAAACTATCATGTTGATTACTGTATTTTGTATTACATAATGTTCCACTTGGGTCTCCAACCTTCACCGGCGTAGTGTTATTTATCGTTCAGGTAAAGCAAAGAGACAACATGGCTGGGTTTAGTTCAGAAACACTTCGATCATAGTAAGCGTATCTGTAAAGCTCATGTCACACATGTACATCCATGTCGGAAAATGCTGTGTGATGCTTCCTCTTAAATTAGGCCACACCAATTTAATTTGTTGGTTCTCGGATTCACCTCTTCATTTTTTTCTGATTTGCACAAAAAAAGATTCTGTTCTGAATCAACTAAAAATGCTCATATTTTGCCCCCAAAAGTTGAGGAACGACCTTTTCTTCCTAGTTGTTACAGTTTTTCCATCTATCAATGCAGTGGTTTGATTAAAAGTTCAAAATTCATTGTTTAAATATTAACCCAGCCTCTTGTGTTGACTTCATCGCGCCTTTCGTAGCATTTGGGGCTATAATAAGATGCCTTTACCTGTTTTTATTGCTTCATATTTTTCTGAAAAAAACCGAGAGCCAACAAATTAAATTGGTGTGGCCTTAACCAGCATGTAATCAACAGGCATGTGGTCGGAACTCGTCATATCAATACGTGATGCACAACTATAGGGACGTGTGTGTTCATATAGAGGAATCACAACGTTATCATGTGGATGTTCATGATTATTAGTTTTATCTTGTGCCTATCAACCGCATCCGTTCATCATGTTTTCTTGTGACATGTACTTAGCCCAGTGTAGCAAAACACGCAATAAAAGTCGTCATTCCTTCATTACATTTTGCCGGTGGGCAGATAAAATCTAGTGATTTGATTTAAGAATGACACTGCACTGTATAATAACCTGGAGATGCTGTCTGTTAGCCCGTGGGTTTTCATTACATTTTGGCAGTGAGCAGATAGAATCTACTGATATTTTTCGACCTTTATTTAACCTTGAGCCGTACTACGTACGCTCTACAGCCAAAGCCGCTTTTCAAGAGCTCAGGGAGAGGAGCGTGGTCAGGGTTCTTAATCACAACGCATCGTTATTTAGTAGTAGTACAATAGTTTCAGACATAAATAATGACACATGCAAAATGAAAATTTATACCTATAAATTCTAAATCGTCATAATCTTGGTTGGCTGAAGTTCGGGAGCAGTCCGACCAGATTTAGACCACACCTACCTTTCTAGACAAATCAAATAGAATTTGAGATAAATGTGAGTCAAATTTCACTGCCAACCACGCCACGAACTACCTCCGAACACCAGCCACACCCGAATTATAAAATAGTATAGTAATAAATAGTCGGCTGGCGCAGCCGAACAGTATAACCGACCCCACCGACCATCAGCCGACCTTGCTCCCGACCTACTCCTAACCATGGTTGGGGGGAGTTAGAATAGTGTTTATATTAGGTGGCCATATTCGGTTATATGTGAGACTTACTCTCTCTCACTCCCATATCCCATACCGTATGACGGGTTTGAAATGATTATCAAATTAGAACCAACCTGTCGAGTGCGATGGCTGTTAGCGTGAATACAGAAGCCCCGATAGCCACTCCTTGGATGAGAGGTGTAAACTTGCACAGGCCGTCACCAAATTGATTCTCTGGAAGTGTAAAGTGCAACTGTCACATTCACACATACATGTACGTGTAGGATTTCAATACATGTCATCAGTTATTTGCCCAGAAACGTCCGTACCCTGCAAGCCATTTGTCATTTTCTTGGACCATTCTTGAACATTCATGTTCATTCTGTAACAAAAGTACAGTTCACATCATGTAAAGTTCTAATGATTATACACACATATTTTCTATACACATATTTTACACATGCATAACATCAGTTAGGCACAATATTGGGATATGACTCTGCTTCCAAACAAGTGTTGGAAGCAGCAAGACTTGGGTGTTAAGGTAGTCAACCAAATCAGTACTTTTATTGCTTAATCTACGTCTTTTGGTATTAGGAGGTGATGTTTGAAGCAGCTCTACTTTTACGATAGTCAGCCAAATGTTGTCAGCAACCCAGTTATTGTATTGCTAAGGTGAAATATTCCAACTGCTATCTTTATAGATTATCCCAGTGATCGATTGAGGAATGGTTCCCACGATAGGCAAGCGGATCATGCAACCAAAACACACAGCGAACGCTACCAGATCCCTTTGAGACAGACTCAACCATAGCCAAGTTTGGGGCGTTTGGCTAGTCTTAAGGGGGCCGAGTGTGTGACAGGGGCTTTAACATTGTCCATTACTCTTTGAAGGAAGCCGATGTGTTGCATCTCAACAATTCAAAGCGTGCTCCATCATTCATTACATGGATCTAAGGTTCATGAAGGTCGACGGTATTCAGTCATACAAAGCTGTCGGATTTCAAAACGGTCATGCAAACAAGCCAGCATTTAGAGAAAGACACGTGCGTTTACCCAAGTGACTAACGCACACTTTGGCAGCGGATGCGCTTAAAGCAGTAGCTGAAGGACGTTGGCGTTCTACACTATAGAATGCAAAGTGGACTTCATCTTGCAAAGTGCACTTCATCTTTCACTACACAAATGGATTGGCTGGAGATTTAGAAAGGGTGACGAGAGGGAATCAAATAAACTACAGTTCTCAAAAGGCATAGCTGTGTCGGGCTAGGATAATAAACGTCTGTCAAGTGAATACGTTTTCAGGCAATATAAAAGTGCTGTTGCCCATAGGAATCAGGCTGATAGACGTACATGTTTTATTTTCAAATCCTTATGTTTTTGAATGAAGACCTTTATTGCACACATACATGTATCAATATTATATACCCACTGGGTAAAGTACAGGTCACAACAACAAAAGAAATAGTATACAGAAAACGTTACATATATACATTGTCAACTAGGTGAATTCGACTTCTTCTCGCTTTTTAGTATTGGTAAAAAGGTAAAACAGATATGCATATGTTTCAACATGGAAGGTTTGTCTAAGTTTATTAGAAATGTAAATGTGTCTGTGATACTTACATGTATGTGTATGAAGTAGGGAAACATGAGTTATTAAAAGCGCCCTTTATCTTCCATTATCAGTATAAATCATGGTTTGCAATTAATCACAAGACGTCAGCCACTCAAAAAGTCAGCCATTAAAAAGTCTTTCATCTTTTCATTTCATCAGGTTGGTAAGTCACTGAATAAAGAGACTCTTTTTACAGTGCAATGTGAACCAGTCAAAATTGCACAGAGAAAGTTGGCAGACGGTCACCGAAACATTGGCTGAATAAAAGACTTGGTTGTGTAAAAAATAATCTCTTCACTCTTTCATTTCTGAATAGATTGGTGTGAGAGCCACAAAAGGCCATCAAATAATGCACAGTTCTTACCATGTAAAAGAAAAAAGCTACCGGACGAATGTCATAAAAGCCAGATTTCAAACACCAAAGGCACCGGAAGCATCTAGATAATGATATATGCTAAGACGTGGTCCCTGGACTATGGTATTTTGATCGGATGCAATTCAAAAAGTCTTTCATCTTCCATTTTGGAATAAACTGGTACAAGGGCCATAAAAGGCTGTGACATTCAATCAAATAAAACTTTGTTCTTCAAAGGACCGGAACGTTTTGATATCATAATGTCGAATCAAAGACAGTTGAAGGATGTACATAACGAGTATCTGGGGGAAAGTTTCACTTTGATCATTGCCAGTAATTTCTGCTTCTGCAATTCAGAATAGTCTTCATTCGCGTTTCATTCCTCGTGTAAAAGTTGGCAAGCGAAAAGGCCACACGACAAGTAGTCACAAGAGACCAGCGCAGCAAGTTTTAGCCAAAAATAGGTGGCAAGTTGGTCTGTGGTGGCAAGGTGGTCTTGTAGTTATGGTTGTTGACTCAGAATTGGTATGTTTGGGGTTCGGATCCCTGGTAAATCTTCATAAACTATTCAAAAGATGAATAGAAATGCCTAAGAATAAGCATTTGGATAGCGGAAGCGTTCTGAATTTGTGCAATTCAAAGTGACATTTAGCTTTCATTGTATTTTTTATCTTCAATTGTTCTGGCTTCATCTTTCATTACATCTAAAAGGGATTGACACGGGGATCGCATGACAGCAAATCATCAAAGTACTTTCTTTTTCCATTCAAAGCATGAATCGGAAGCCGATGGATTAGTGCCACAAAGGAAACCTTCCAGCCATAGGCACCGTCAGTATCTTCTGTTATTTCATGCATGTGACATAGCGTACATGTACTTCGCACCGATACAAGGATATAACTACGTACATACATACATACGATCTCTGGTAATCATGATAAAACTTACCACAGTCAGTAATTACATCAAAGATAAACTGTGATTCGTAATCACATTATTATATACTGCTAATGGTAAAGCAACTGTTTAGTGAAGTATGTAATGACTTTTCGTGTTGCTGCAGATTTTATGTCCAGACTTCTAAATTAAATGTAGATCTCCACGAACTGTGCAGGTACATTAGTGCATGACTATAGTAGCGTTAGACAATATGAATGCTAATACAAGTCTGGTTATGGTTGCCGCTCGCCCTTGTAGAAAATTGAAGCCCCATCTGTGGTCGTTTTGATGGTAATCGTGGCCACCATTTTCTTCTTCCAGAATGGTTGGCTGCAAATGAGTTCCTTGTCACATTTCCTTTCTGTCATCTTATGGAAATCTGGCTACCCAAATCGTTACTTTGTCAGAGTTACTCTCTCTGTCGGTGATGACTATGACAATGGAGAAAATTGAAGCCCCATCTGTACTCGTTTTGCTTTGATGGTAATCGTGGCCACCATTTTTCTTCTTCCGGAATGGTTGGATGCGAACGACTTCCCTGTCGCACTTCTATAACATTAGAGAAGTCGGGCCTACTCCATCCATGACAGAAAATCATCAAAGCACTTTCTTTTTCCATTCAAAGCATGAATCGGAAGCCGATGGATTAGTGCCACAAAGGAAACCTTCCAGCCATAGGCGCCGTCAGTATCTTCTGTTATTTCATGCATGTGACATAGCGTACATGTACAATCGCATGTACGATACAAGGATATAACTACATACACACTGATAATTATGATGTTTGATGTTTTGAGGTTTTATTAGATATCCATTAGATTAGATATCAAATCTAATCTATTCTTCCTGGATTCATAAAAAACAAGGCACACAAATGATAAAACTTGCCACAGTCAGTAATTTCATCAAATATCAACTGTGATCTGTAATCACATTATTATATACTGCTAATGGTAAAGCAACTGTAGTGAAGCAGGTAATGACTTTTCGTGTTGCTGCAGATTTTATGTCCAGACTTCTAAATTGAATGTAGACCTCCACGAACTGTGCAGGTACATTAGTGCATGACTATAGTAGCGTTAGACAATATGAATGCTAATACAAGTCTGGTTATGGTTGCCGCTCGCCCTTGAGGCTATAGGCCAAGCTTATCAGACTTACCCGGCGTCTGTTTTAGACAGACATTACCGAACCATTGCTATGATTTAGACAGACATTACCGAACGCAACAAGCAGACTTGCCGTTGGTAAAATGGGCCTACGTATCGAGCTCAGGCGTTACCTAAGCTATTAAATAGTTATATGTCCCTGGGGTATTTGATAAAAAGGTTTTGAAGTCGGCCGACGTGCGTACAAAATAAATAGACGGATTTACCAAAAGATGTTTCTTGCCAAAAGCACTCTTTACCAGACATATATGACATTTGTCATCATCGTTGCTGAATCCCACTGTTCATAAAGTGCAAGGAACTATATATAGTATAAACATTGTATTGCCATTTTGTACCGTTAACTATTCTCAGAAGTGACGGTACTGGGCTAGCGCTATTACTGAAGCTTGTAGTTTGAGTAATGGGTAGAGTTAGTGTCTATAAGTACTTGTGACTAGTCATGTCCATGTAAGGTTGGTGGCAACGGGTGTACAGTTCTCTTGATTTTTTTTTCATGCTGATACTAGCGATAGCAAACCTACGGCAGACGTTGTTCCTTATTTCCTCCAGGGTTTCAAGCCGCGGATCGGTGAGTAATCGAGTCGTTGACGCCATGATGAATTGGGGATGATATACGATATCACGAGACCTTTGCCTGTCACGCAATACTTTAATTTGCGACAGTTTGCTGCCAGCCCACCAAGTAATGAGTTGCACTGACACGAATGTATAAGTTTGATGGGTGTCCGTTTGGGGATTGATAGCGTTCTGAACACAACAAGGTCTGTCTCGTATATCACTACCAGGGATGCAGCAATGTAACATTCATGTGAACTAACTGGAAAGTTCCAGAGAGTGCAAGATGAGTAAGACTGGAGGTAGACACGGAGTCTACGGACAACTGATCTTCACAGCTGCGGTTCAAAGATGTCTGTAAGAGGAACTAAAAGGCTCTTGACATTGACACAGCAGAGGGCAGGGATGTCCTTGCAATGACCGACTCAGCTGAAATCAGGAGAAGCTAGACTGATGAAAAAGAGAAGCGGACTCGGCGAAAACAACTTTGACACCTGAGTCAGCTTACAAATATGTTCGATGCGACTGAAACTGTCATTCTCATGTAAGACTGTTTAGCCATAACCGAAGCTGTAGCGCTGATATCGATTAGCAT